GGAACGCCGTATATCAACGGTCTCACAGCGCGCCGTTAAGACGTAACCGCTGTCGTTTCGCTAACAAGCAGCCAACGAAATCCTGACGAGAACGAGGTTAGGCTTAACCAGACGTAATCGTCACACATGGCTGACAACATGTACATCATTCCAATTGGTGTAGTCTGCACAGGTACACGGGTAACGCGCGCTTTTCAGAAACTATATCAGGTTGAGAGATGCAAGTTTAGCCTCCTCAAGGAAACTCTCTAAATCCTCTGTGTTTTTGCGCAAGCGCCTCTGCAGATGTATACGATATCGTATATACACCCTAAAAGTGGCATGGCATGGTCTAACATACGGAACCTGCAATCTACTAAAGCAATCTCAAACTCCCTGAAATACGGTATTTACATGTCGGTGGTTCAAAGTGCTCCCAGCCTACTGCTGGCACCTGTTTGTGACTGCCCACAACCCTTGCAGACCGCGCAAGCGGTTCAGCCACAGAAGGATCCGATAGTGGCTACAATGATCCTTTCTACACCTTCCAAATCTTCCTCCGGAAGGTCGTGCAGCATGGCAACAATTCTCTCCAGCAAGGGCCGGGTTGACGCATCTGAGATGTTGCTGTTGACCCCCAGATCCAAAGTCTGCAGGGCGTAATTGAGGAGTCAGGTTTCAGAGTTGAAACCAGAATGGATTCCTGCAACCGGAATTACAGGAATTTGCCCTGATTAACAACTTCAGACGGGTCGAGATACGTACAACCTTGAAACACATGACAGGTGCTCACCAGCTGTCGTGCAGGGGAGCGGGAGCGGGAACGATAGCGGCGGGAGCGGGGACGATAGCGGTTCCCGAAGAGATTAACACCGTACGGGACCGTCGCTGACAATCCCACGTTCCTGTTGGAGGCCTGCAAGGTTTCCACCAGGTAAGCGCTTCAGTACTCATTTAGTACGCGTTCAGCTAGAGCTTCAGCAACAGGACAGCGCCCACTCGCACCGATATCCTAATTGAGAATCGGGGCAAGTGTGAAATGGAGCCTTGAGTAAACATGCAAATATGCCAACGTAGCCTGGGCAGACCAAGAAATTGGAAAGCATTACTGTTTGGTGTGTATTCTTACCATGGATGTTGTGGCCGTAGCGTGGGACTGGGAATGCGGTCTGGGAATGGGGCCAAGAATTCCTGCAGACGGTGATTGATGAAGTGTGATGACATGTTGTCCAAACCCTAGATCATCCTCTTTCCTTGCATGATTCATTTCACGCATTGCAATTGCAATTGTTGACATGCGAAGTGCATCAGCCTTATGCTGAAAGGTTCTCACTTCAAAGATTCTGGTGTCTACCTTCTGCTGCTGCCTTGCGGTGATGTCGACCGTGTCTGCATGCAGCCGTCCCTGCAACCAACATGCCAACCTGCTTATTATAAACGCGGCAACCAAGAACCCTGAAGCATCGCTCACTCTGATGCATTCATTGAATTTGAACTTTCCAGAAAAGAGCCTACCTGCTGCTGGCCCATGGAGCTTGGCATCTCTGGTTGCAGACTGGTTTCGTCTCCGAGCAGTTGCTGTAAGCAGTCGGAATCTATGCTCAAGTAGGGGAACAGCAACATCTTCTGCTGCTGTACTGCCATTGGTAGTGCTCTACAGGTGGAGACTGCTTGCAAAGGTGAAGGCTGAAGATCTTGCAAAGATGAAGGCTGAAGAGCTTGCAAAGGTGAAGGCTGAAGCAAATGGATGAGGAAATGCTTGGGAATAGCAGAGTCTTATACCCAAGCGTCCGAAAGTACCAAGAGCTCATCCCAGGAGCTCATTTCAGGAGCTCGTCCGAGGATAGCGCCCGAAAGCTCATCCGAAAGCTCATCCAAAAGCTCATCCGAAAGCGCGTCCGAAAGCTCATCCGAAAGCTCATCATAGATACCTAAGATCACAGAAGCGTCCGAAAACACCAAAAGCTCATTCCTTGGGCTCATCCCAGGAGGGCGTCCGAACATACATGGTGTGTTGAGGCATCCCAAAGGCAATATGGCATCTGGAGAAAGCAGAGTTCGCATCCTCTCAGACGCTGCTGTCTTACCACGGAGCTCGGAGGTGTCTCTGGCTGTGGCAAACCGAGCGCGGCGTCTATGTCATCTGCACTTCGTCTCTGCAAACGGTGATTGATATGGTTGAAGGCCAATCTAGAGTTGTCAGAGTTGACCCAACAGCAAGAATCGATGCCGTAGAAGGTACGCTATCATGACCTCCATGCAGCTGATGTGCTTGCACATATGCAACACGGTATACTCACCTCTTGGCAAAGCCAATTACCCGAGAGTGACTGCTGCAAGTACTGCTGAATCTCCATGGAGTGTGAAAGGATTGAAAAGGTGAAGGGTTGAACCAGATGGATGGTTTATTGCTGAAAGTGCGGCCATTTATATGCTTGAAATTCCCAGGGAAGGACCTCTGGCACTTGGCGCTCTCCGGCTCCATATTGGCACTTCTGGCTTTGCTCGGGCCCTTCACGGCCCGTTCCGGAGCTTGACGGACCGATCCACTGGACCGATCCTATTGGTCCAATGGCTTCGGTCCAGTTTGCCAGTCGGACCGCGCGGTGTAGTAAGGGTCTTGCAAGTTTGTGTGGTATCGAGTCCTCTCAGGCCGAGTCCGAAAGACGTTCTCAATGTGGTCAGGAAAGAGCAGAGGGTTTAAGGCTCACGTGATTAAGTATAACACGAAATTGACCCACTACGGCAGGGTGTGGCCCTCTCCGGCACCGCGCGGCATCTTTCGCGGAATAGTCCGGCCCAGTGGTGGTCTCACAAGTTGTGTAATATTGGGTCCTCTCGGTCCGTACTCATCCACGTTCTCAACGTGGTCAGCGAAGAACAGATGGTTTACTACAAGTTTCATCATAAGTGTCGTAGGTCGAGCGTAACGCTCAGCTAGGGAGGTCAAGCCGGCGCGTCGATTGACCGCCTGTTTTGCCCTTGTCACCACGTCATCGACAGCTCAGCATTTATTCTTCGTGAAATGAAAAGATGGGTCGAAAATGAGGGGGTTTGGTATCTAGTAGATCATATTTTGCTCTTAGGAAAGTCCGATTATGGCTCAAATCAATTTGCCCAGTGCCAGTAAATCACTGTGCTGTGTGCTGTGGTGCCCAGAGCTGTGCATGTCACGAAATGGCAGACTGAGCGCCTGAAACGCGCCCGGGTCTGTGCTGTGCTGTGATGTGCTGTGCTGTGCTGCTAGTTACCGGAAGAATACACACAACCTTAAACGTGGCTGCTGAAGCTGAGTTACGCTGTCATGGGGTGCTGCTGTAAGACGTGCTTCAGCTGGGATGGGACCCTAGAGAGCCTTCGTTGGCATCCAAGAAGAGGCGCGCTGGTTCGCTACCTTTGCATCAGTCACCTGCAGAGAATCCTTCACGCTAAGAGGGGATGGCGCCTCCAAGGTTCGTTTGAACCCTCCAAGAGAATCGAGGCACTATGGGGCATGAACGAACAATACAACTACTGCAGGGGGGGCGAATTTTCTGTGACGGTGTGGGCGTTCCAACAGGTCACAAGGAGTGGGAGCGAAGGAAGTACATTGGAAATAAACCCCCCCATCTACCAATTTGCCATTCCGCATGAGCTTCAAGCTGCTAGGGCCAATGCTCTAGCCACCATCAGACTTCTCAAGAGGTGGTCGGATCCAGAGGAACTCGGTTTTGCTCGGGGCGTGCATGAGGGCTGGGTTCGCGACTTGGAGTCCCACTTACTGAGATCCCCTTTGGGTGCGGTTGAAGAGCAGGAGTTGACACGTCGGCTGGTACAGGCCTTGATCGATTCTGGGTCCAAGCTCTGGGCAGACGGCCTCTCGTGTTGCCCATACATCTTTGATATGAACTGGGAGGTTTGTAAGGGCCGGAGTGACTTGGGTGTCGTAGACCTGGTTCTAACCAACGGGTTTGGGATTTTCATGGTCATCGAAGTGAAGCACGCCACCGAGCTTCCGGGGCGCAATCAGCGCGTGAACCGTCATGCACAGCTTGTGAGGGTTAGAGAGCAGGCCCTTCGATATACTAGAGAGGCGTTCTTGCAACGGCACCCGGACTCGCTTGTCATAGCGTGTACTTACACCAACATTGATGGGCTCTGCTTTCTCGACCTTGGGCACTCCCTAGTGCTTCAGCAAGCCGGAGAGGTGAAGTCGATCTACAAGGGCGACTTTGTGGAGGGGTTTACGGAAGGACAACAAGGCGGTGTGTGGTTGCGAAAAGGCATGTCATTGAACACGCTTATCCTGGAGTATGCCAACTTGCAGGAGGACTGGACAATTGAGCCAGTTTCGAGAAACAAGAGTAGGTGGTGATGGATGATATTCAAACGAATTTTGTTGGTCCTAGGTCTATCATGTGTTGTAGCTATTGCTCTTGCGAGTTGAACACCTTGTTGGTGGGCCCTGGGTTTTAGAGTTAAAGACCACGTTTGAACCTTTGAGATTTCTGACACATAGACTCAAAATGACCAATTTCGATGAAAGTGTTTGCAAGTCGCGTGCAATACTCTGATGATTCCGGATGGGTTTGCTGCCTATGAATGGACCGGGTTTCTTGCTCAAGAGATGGTATGCTAACAATGTATGCTGCATCACCGGGCTTATCAACCTGGGAATCTGGGATCCCTACTCTTAGCATGCCCCGCGACATACGTTATAGAGACCTCCATCAGTCCCTTCGATGTCCCTGAGTGATCAATTGGCGAAATGTCCGTAGGTGCATTCGTTATGGGTCAAAAGTCAGGGCATTTCTGAGGAGACATAGCACGGGGTTTCTTTTGGTACCAGGCCAGCTTGGCGGCCAGCGGAAAGCCAGATAAATCTGGTATTACTGTCATCGCGTTTCGTGTTGCCTACGTTACATCATGGGGGCGACACTTTGGGTGAAATTGGTAAATAAAGGCTCACGTGGTTAAGTGAAACTGACCTACTACGGCAGGATGTGGTACTCTCCGGCACCGTGCGGCACTTCCGGGCACTCTTTCACGGCATCTCCAACTCCCAATCAACGTCGGGAGGCGCATGCCGGGACTCAAATCACCGGTCAAGCAAAAGGCACTTTCATGTGGTCACCAAAACGAGGAGCCGTCACCCTGAAATCCTAAGACTTTTCATGTGGTCACCAAAATGTGCGAGAGCTCGGTCGAATATGTAAAGGCGGCCGCAATATGTGCGCGCGCGGAACTCCATGAGACCGCTCGCGGTCACGTGGAGGCACTTGCAGCCTGATGAGGACTTTGATGGACAGCGCACGATTGCTATGAGCAGGGCTTTGTTCAGGCACAAGCTGTAGAGACATGGCCGAATGTTGCTTAGACGTGGTGTCGAGCTGCCCATCTCTGCAAAGTATTGCGTCCTCTGGAGAACATGATGTCTGCTAGGCCTGCATTAGGGCTCTCGAAAACTCCAAGTTCATTTGCATCATAATGAATAGTCCTGTTACTCTCCCAAGCTTTCTGGGGTTCACTGAGTCTTTCTAATACGATATTTCCAACAGAGCTGCTGTACTCTTCGAATGTTAGTGGCGTTTCTCTTTCCCTTGCATTGCATATCATGAGACCGGTGACAGTTTGCTTGTCTTCGATGTGTTCAAAAGCCCGCATGGGCAGATAAGCTCCTAGGGCTCCATCCAAGTACAACTCTCCATCCAGCTCGATGGCAGGGTTCAGGAAGGGGATGCTGCAGCTGGCTGTAACAGCTTCGTGTATCGGAAGGTCCATGGTGGCCTCTTCTGCACCAAAGATCACCAACTTGCCGTCACGGACTCGCATCGCGGTTACAAAGAGGTCTTTACCCGTTTCTTCCTTAAGCACTCGAAAGGTGGGGTCTGAGCTGCCCTGCTTCCGGCAGCTGGGCCTCTTTCTCAAGAGGTCCCTGACCTCGTCCTTCCCAGCTGGCTTGCACATGCCCCACTTTTGAGGGGAAACTTGGAACATGCTTAAAGGCCGTGCCTTACACAGCTTGTGGAGCTGACTGGGTCGATATCCAGCTGTTACGAGTGCGGCCACGACTGCCCCACAGCTGCTTCCAGCATAAGCTCGAGGAGCAGCCCCGCGCTCCTCTAGAAAGTCGAGAGCTCCCAAGTGAAGCGGGAACTTGAGCCCGCCTGCCGACAAGCAAATGTTTTCCATGTCACAGCCAGCAAAAATACGGTGCCCTCACTGTACATTCAGCTCTATGTTTGCTTCTTTCAATAATCCCATTGCGTTTCGCCAGTCCGGCCCCCACTTCGCGTCATTGACATCAGGTTGTGTGGTCACTATCCGTCGGATGCCTGATTGAATGAGCGCCTTTGCACAGTCCGTACATGGGAAGAGTGTGATGATACGTGTAGCGCCGTCCAACCGGATTCCATTCCTAGCCGCTTTGGAAATGGCATTCACTTCGGCATGGGTTACGAAGCTGTACTTTGATGGTCTCTGCCATCGCTCAGGGATATTATCATTCACTCCATCCGGAAAGGCATTCCAGCCCACGCTGAGGACGCTGGTGCCCGCTCTGTCCAGCAGCAAGCAACCCACATGCTTACTGGGATCCTTGCTGAGAGAACCGATTGTCTGTGCCAAGTGCAGGAGAGATGTTGTGTCCATGGCACAAGGCTGAGTGTCTGCTATGAGCGCAAGAATAATGGGAGCAGCCATGGGTATTGTAGAATGGCACTTGTGTCTAAGCGACATTGAAGTCATCACATACAACATGTGCCACAATTTCAATGAGATGGCTCGCGCATATACACGGATGACGAGCGTTTTTCAAAAAGTATCTCAGGTTGAGAGATGCAAATTTAGCTGCCCTAGGGAGACTCTTGGAATCCTCCATGTATCCACGCCAAGTGCCTCCGCAGTTGAGTACGACACTTTGTAAACGGTATGGTCCATGAAAGCCATCACATACAATGAGCTTTTCATGTGGAACGGTTAAACATACATACATAGTGCTCACTCATGCCGGTCCAAGGAAAGCCCTACTATACCTATTATATAACTTTTTTTTCCCAAAAAAGAAGATACATATATATAGCCCATTTGTGGATAGTACCATGTTGTACACACTGTCCTTCAAAAATTTCCCCTGAAGGGAAAAAAGGAAAAGGCTGAAACATAGTATCA